AAACTAACTGAAACAATATTGTCTACTTTCAAAACTAACTAAAATAAAATAAAAAATACACAGGAAATGTCTTTAGTTTTTGTCAGTTTGGTCAAACACAACAATCCTGAGGAGACACTGGGGCATATGTTGATGTACATGACTGTGAGTCAGTGTGTTTGCATTGTAATATCTGTTCTGAACTTTTTAAAAACTAACATACAAACTAAACTGAAATGAGCAAATTAATTTAAGAAACTGAACTGGGGAAAAAATACAATACTTACCCTGCTGGGAATGAGACTCAACAATTAACTATCTTCCAGCCACCAACCCCAGGTGTCTTCATATCTTTCTTGGCTGTACCAATCTGACAGCATCCAAAGTTGCAGTAAAGAATCATGAAGAATTAACATTACATAACTTTAATATATGACTATTTCGTTGTTAAAATCACATTATATTTAGTGAATGTGGCACATTATAACTTGTTTGGGACTTGACTAGAGACTTGTAAAACAATGACTTGGTCCCACCTCTGGTAATATATATTTTTGTGTCTGGTTGTGGAACCCCAGACCTTATGGACATTTAGGAAGTAAAAGATACTGAAAATTAAAATTCATTCTGTGTAGGCTCTCTGTTAAAAGTATGTTTTAAGAAAGGACTTAAAAGTGCTGTCCCCTTTAGTTCTCAGCCGGGACAGACAACAGACATCAGACCTGTGCCTGAGGTTCTCAAGGTACGAGCCGGTGTGTACGGTATTGAAAGGTTTGAAATATAGCAGGAGGAGAAACCATGTAGAGTCTTAAAAGTAATCAGTAAAATCTTTAAAACAATTCTAAAACATACTGGGAGTGTAAAACCAGACACCAAGATTCTTTCCAACATGCTTAATATGACCCAATAGGCCAAAGGAACCAGCAGAGGGCGCTCACTTTACAGTTTAACATGGAAGACTGCAGAGCTGCATTTACTCTTTATTATGTCGATTCAGGCAGGAAACACCGCGCTACACCTGGCCTGTCAGAACGCACACGCTCAGACTGCTCGCCTCCTGCTGCTCGGAGGGGCCACACCAGACACCAAGAATAATGTGAGTCCCCCAGCATCCCACAATGCACTGAGCTCGCCTCAGAGACAGAAGGATTACAAAATGGTAGAATCTCCACTATGACACCAACGAGGCAAGGGACCATAAACTGTTGAACAGGGAATAGTTTCACATGGATACATCACTCAGCATGGAATCTTTCTGATAAAACATGACATGACATGCTTTGTACGCTTTGTACGCGTTTGGTCTGAACGTACAGTAAGAGCTGTGTTTTGGTTGTAGAGGGGGGACACGTGTTTGCATGTGGCTGCTCGCTACAACAACCTGTCCTTGGTGAAGATCCTGCTGAATTCACTGTGCACTGTGACAGAGAGGAACCAGGTACAGTGTTCCAGAGCCAGACTTGATTCATCCTGCTTCTTTATTTACATTCATGTGTTACGTATGTGTATAGCCTATGTTTAATATTTATGTTTGAGTGTAGTTACCAACTGCACCATATAGAAAATAAAAAAGATAAATATTCATTTATTATTAGAAATTTTATTGATTTGCTATATTTGCTGAACTGTGTATTTACTTGTAGGGAAATTATACTGTGTTGCATCTTCACCTGAACTACTGCACATTGAAAAAAATAATACACAGTTCTTTCTGTGAATTTCCTGACTCAATTCTACCAAAGTAGAAACTGCAGCTAAACAAACAGTACAAACAAACAAACATCCTGTGCTGTCTATGTGTCTGTGCCTGTAGGGAGGGGACACAGCTCTCCATGTGGCTGCTGCTCTGAACCATAAGAAGACAGTTCAGCTCCTACTGGAGGCAGGGACTGATGGGACAATCAGAAACTATGTAAGTTCCTACAATACCACCATCCATCTACAAGCTGGATGTTTAGATTCACAATTTGTCTAATCTTAACTCATCACCTTTTAGATGCAGTAACAAGTGGTGCTCATAGCAATAATATGCTTTATGTACTCTCATGTCCTTCTCTATTTCTCTGTTTGGCTCTGTGAGACAATGGAACACCACCACCAAGTCATTGGTACCATCAGTCCTCACAGCTTTCACGCTCTCAATGTGTTTTGTTTTTTGTTTTTGTTTTTACTAGAAAGCATGTGTGCTTCTTAACACTGATGTTGCCAAAAGCAGTCTGGTATTACTGATTGTTTTCACACTATATGTCAGGATTTCATTAAAATCTGACTTATTGGCCCTTTCAAAGTTAGTTAATCTTAACCCATTTAACCCGGCAGACAACAGCGACAATGCACAGTGTACAGCGTTTATTACAATGAAAGAGGTACTCCAACAATTTAGTATTGTGCTGTCATACAATTGGGGGACTAACAAGAGACAGATCAAAAATAATGGCCAAACTCTGTGTAGCTGAAGCCAAAATATCCAGGCTTTATGTCCCACTATGAGTAAAACATGAAAACACTCCAACAGTGCTTCAACCCAAGCTGAGATAACCCTTATGACATCATCAGTTATTTTTCATACAAAATGTAGATACTGCAGAGCTCCTTCAAAGCACCTTTCTGACAGTAGAATACAGTTTTGCTATGGGTCATATGAATGTTAGTGTGTTTTTTTTCTTGTCTACTGTTCACTTCCAGGCAGGTAAAACAGCCCTTGACAAGGCCAGAGATAACAACCACAAAGATGTGGCACTTCTCCTGGCCAGAGCTCCTCAGGTTGGTGTCTGCATTAGAAACATATCCTAGATATCATTAGTTCATATTCTTGTATTAGATATAAACTTAAACCAGGGGTGTCTGGTATGCTCTGCTGGTAAAGGAGGCGCACTTTAACATTCAAGTTCTACAAAAAAGCGCAATATTGTGGAAATATTTACATTACTAACATCATACTTAAAATAATGAAGACAACAGTTTCTCTACATTTTTATATTGTCATTTTATATCAGACAAACAACAAAAGGAGGTCGGAAGCTTGTTCTCTTTGAACACATTAGCAGGAACCTTTGACATTAGCCATTAAAAGAAAGTTTAAATTGATATGCAACATCTAGAAAAAAAAAACTTGGAGGGCCAGAAAGGGCCCCTAGGCTAGCAGTTTGAGATCACTGCTTTAAACCAAAACACTGGGGTGTCAAGAATGTGGTTTGTATCTTAGTTTTAACTATTTTTTTTAACTACTTTAGCCTCAGAATTGAGCGTCAGAGCAATGTTTGTGATCACAAGAGCTAGAAAACCATTTAAAGGTTTTTTTTAATAAAAGTTGCTATATTTACAGTAGTACAGTTGAGTACAGATATTAACATTTTACTCTGATGAAACTTGTACTCGTTAAAAGAACATTATCTGTACCAGATACTTGTTTCAGCCAAGTTCTCGCTCAACCCAACTTTTTGAGGAGCTTACAATAAGTGCGTTCAACCATGAGGATACAACCCAAAAATGCAAGTATCGTGCAAGCAAATGAACTTCATCAACTTAGCTAACGTGTACAGTTTCTGCTGTCCTGATATAAACAGGAAGCCCATTCCACAATTGTGGAGCCAGGACAAAAAACTGTCTGGGTTTTGTTGAGCAGTAGCTGGGCCCTCTTTATAGTGAAGGAGTGTGGAAACAAATGAAAGAGTGTGGTGGACGGTCTGGGGTGCATGGTTTGACCATTTACTGGATGTAGGAAGGATCGGACAGCAGTGTCAAGCCCGGGTTCCTTGGGCAATGTAACCATAGCAGCTTTTATAATTGTCTTTAGGTTCATCGCTTCATGCGAGGAAGAACAATAAGGAAACGAAGAGAGAGACTGACAGCTGAGCGCCGGACCCAGTCTGTCACCAGGGTAGACATTCTACCAAACAAAGTAAGGAAATACAAAAAAAGTCAGTCTTTATAGCACATGGAGGTAAGAGGATTAGTTAGTCGCATTAGGTCAGATCTTTAAAATTTAGCTTTTGCTATAATTGTTTCACTGAATACAGTTTTTATTTTGCATTTGACTTGAATTCCATGCTGTACGTCCTGTCTATGTGTCCGGAGGAGGACAGCAGTTCTGTGGCGGAGGAAACCCGCAGCAGTGAACACACAGAGAGCAGAACTGCCGTCAAGGTGGGTCCTCACCAACAGCAGAAGCAGCAGCAGCAGCATTATCACAAGATCCCAGCGGCCACCAGCAGCCCCTACAGCCACCATAAGCGGAGAGCCAAGGAACAGGTAGGTCAACAACGGACAAGTACATCAGTCAGTAATTTCAATAGTTCATTTTTGAGTTAGATTTCATTCATAGGATGACAGTCTCTGTTTTACAATTAATGCTAGATGACATTCAGGAGGCTTGTCATGGAACTGTATTTCTAGATTAAAAAAAACTCCTGTAAAGTTTTGTGCATCCCAGGATTCCCAGGCACACAGCTTGTGCCCTTCTAACTCAGAGTTGACTGGGTTAATTCTAGCCAGATTGTAATGTAATGGGGATGGCACAGAACAGCAGTAAGTAGGTAAATCCAAAAAACAGGCAGAAATCAAAGCCAAGAATCAAAGTCCAGAAAACAGGCTGAGGAGCAGGCATCTTGGAAGGCGAAGGACAATCTGGCAAAGGACTAGTGGGAGTGGGCTACTGTACATACTGAGGTAATCAGATGGAATTGGAAGCAGGTGAGCAAGTGGGTGGAGAAACTGTCAGGAAAGAGTTAGTTGGAGAATGAATGAATGATCACGAGGGATTCTTGACAGCAGCATTTTGTTGTTACTTTTACGTCATGTTACCATTCCTCCTTTGTAGGCTTGGAATGGAGATGATCTGAGAAAAGGCAAGAATGACCTCAACATTAAGTGGGATCTGCTCTGTGATAATGGTGAAGACAGTCCTGCTAAGAATGGAAAAACCTATCAACTTTACACACTGTACCGTGATAAGGATGGCAACATTAGACAGGTTATTGATGAGTTTTATTTTTTAAACTACAAACATTTTACATACAACAAGCTTACAAAGCAACGGTTATTCCCAGCGATTCATTTATAAATCTAAAGGTTCCAGAGTGGGTAATTTTTATAAAAAATATGTTTTGTCATATTTGCTGAAGTTTTCTAAAATGTTCTAACAGTAGAACATGAGACAAATAATCTGTGAAACAATCCGGTTCCTCTGGCTCCTCCTAGTCCTCCTAATGGTATTAGCAAGAATCCACTGGGCCTGAACGAAAACAACCAATCAGAGCCAAGAGAGATAGAAAGAGGGTTTTGGATGGTGGCTTGAAGGTGGTTCAGTGCTGAGTCTCATTCCTAGCATCGATATTTGACGACCTGGGAAGGAGACTCAACAATCAACTATCTTTCTCTGATTGATTGTTTTTGTTCAGGCCCTTTTTTCCACAGATTTATTGTCTCATGTACTAGTTGTCAGGATTAGTGAAAGTTTCAGCAAATATGACAAAAATATTTTTATAAAAACTACCTACTGTAGCTTTAAATAGTCAATGAACTTAAAAACTAGAAAAAAAAATTAGGAGTGGAGTTTGAGAAAATCTTGTTTCTAAAACTTTACATTGAGTACATTTGCCAGAAACGTTGAACCATTAACAGGGTGGAATCCTGCTGAATGTGCTTGTGACCATTCTCTTTAGGCACCAGCCAATGGATGCCATTGTAGGCCCCTGCTCAAGAAGCTGGAGGGCCAACTGCAATTCACACAGGAGGAGATGAGGCTGCACATCCTGAACGTCCAGGAGCAAGTCAACAGTAGGCTGGGCCAAATGGACCGCAGGAACAGACACCAGGTGTGCTTCCACTTGCTCAGCTTAGAGATCATGGCTTATACAATTTCTTTATATACCTTCAGTGTCTTAAACTGATGGTTCAGTTTGTGTTTTTAAAGTTTGATACCAATTTCCATTCTTTGAGTAAACCTACTGGTTGCCTATATTTTGTTTTCTTTAAAGCCGAACTTGAACTATGAATTGTCCTTACATTTTTGTTAAACTCAACATGTCAGTGTCTCATGTCTAGACAGTAGCAACATGTTAAGTAGGTACTAAACACACCTGTTGGAGAAAATCCATCTAGGGGGCACTATCACTGCACTGAAGTTTAGTTTGGCCTTTTTTGTTTTTTTTACGATTTTGACAAGTCAAATGCAAATTTCTTAGTAAAACTTTAATTTTAGTTTTCATGCCAGAAAGTTCCAAAATTATTTTTTACAATCTGATTTTCCTACACTTTGACTTGGGCAGATTAAAGTGTTGGACATGCTGAATCAGGAAAGAACAGCAGCAGAGAGGAAGAACATCATGTACAGGACCGAGCAGAGAATTGCCCAGGGAAGAGAGAAAACCCTGATGACACAGGTACCTCTTACAATTTACAGCACACAGAACACATGGGATGGTCTTTTTTTATGTTGTATTTTAATGTTTTATTACATGTTGAACCTTCATGATGGTAGTGTGGTGGCTGTGGCTCAGGAGGTAGAGTGGGTCATCCACTAATCAGAAGGTTGGCTACTGGCTTCTCCCACTCCCAACCCCAAATTGCTCCAGATGCTGTGTACAGATGTAGGAATGTGTGTGAATGATTCAATGTAGCATGTAGTCTAAAAGTGCTTTGAGTGGTCATAATTGACCATAACTGGGCTGAAATTATACATTCATACTCTGATTATGAGAAAAAAGATTATTTTGCCTTGGACGCATCTTCCCACTTTCTTTTATAAAATATAATTAAAAACACCTTAAAATCTCCAAAGGATCTGTTGACTGAGAATAATCTCTCTAGAATTACTGTTCAGTGATAGATCTATGACTTATTACTCAAGCCTTCATTGGAAACTGTTTGGAAAAGCGCAGGCCAATTAAAAAAATACTTGGCAGGTGATTGGATAACCCATCTGTCTATCACTGTTTATCACGGGCCAACTTCAACCAATCTGATCAACGAAGCATAGATAGAGATAACGTCCTGTATGAATCAGAATGAAAATGCAGAATCAAGAGACTGCATTTAATTTCAAGATTAAGCATCATTTATTTTCCAAGAGTCCAAGACAAGTCTGATGCAATAGACAAACCACCTCGAATCTGGACTCGAGTACTACAGCACTGTCAGTCATCATTAGTCATTATAAAACACTTATTAAGGCCTTATTCTGCATGAGCATATTCTACAACTACAAGGCCATTAATTAAGAGTTTTCCTTCATTAACCTCCTAATCACTGCTTATTGATACTAAGTAAGGAAGTTGTTGTCCATGAAGATCTTATGATTTGCTCAGTATGGGCCTTTATAAGAATACTAATTTTTTAGTGCTTATTAAATTTACAAAACACAAAAAGTGTTAATAGCATCCAAACAAGGGCCTAAAGGTGGGTTTTAGCCCCCTCAGTTGTATTTTTTGCCCCCTCTGTGCTTTATGTCTCTAAAGAAAAATAGCAAAAACAACAAGTAGAATATACTCATGCAGAATAGGAAATTAATAAGTGAGTAATATCTTATCTGCTTTCATCTGGTGTAATAAATGCCAGAATTCTTTATTAAATTAAAGGACCAGTGTGTAAGATTTAGTAAATGGACCTGTACTTGTATAGCCCCTTCTTTTCGACCACTCAAGCGCTTTACACTACGTTTCCACATTCAACCCTTTCACACACATTCATCAATGGAATGGCAAAGTCCACTCGAACAGAAACTAACTCATTCATTACACATTCACAACACCTACAGCCATCGGCGGGCAATATGGGGTTCAGTATTTTCCTCAAGGATACTTCAACATGTGGCGGGAGGAGCCGGGGATCGAACCAACAACCTTCCAATTAGTAGACGACCCACTCTTCCTCTGAGCCACAGACACCCCAGTGGCATCTAGTGGTGTAGTTTTAGATTGCGCTCACGTCACCCTCCCTTTCCAAGCACAAAAGAGAAACTACGGTGGCAGGACCTGTAACAGCTTGTATTTCTCACTTCCATTTGTGTTGTACCGAAAAGATTGGTCCACTATGGAGTGCAAACATTTAACATGTAATACTTAAATCTCAGATTTTCTGATTTTTATCTTTAAAAACTAAATCATACACAGTCAATCTGGACAATGGACAATATGAGCTCTTGTCTCAAGCAGGCAGCGGTGAGTAATGAATTGAAGAGGTGGTGTATGTCCCAGCTGAAGGACATGGATGTTCATGTTCCAGCCAAAGCACAGTATTACAAACTCCTCCCTTCACCGTCTGTGGAGCAGTCTGTGGCAGACACTGACCTGGAGTCACTCCCCTTGCTTTCTGTGGTATCTGGAGACAGCAGCACTTCACTGGCTACCTATGTCAACATCTTGCCATCCAAATCTACCAACAGTCTGGGAGGCCCCAAGCAAGAGCAGCTGGGGAGCAGGACATACTTTGAAATGAAAGTGGACAGGTCACCAGGTATGTCCAAGAACAGCCTACATTACCACTGCATCAACAATTCAGTGGCACAGCTCACAGTGACCTAATGGTTGGTTGATGGTTTGTTACAGAGAACCATCTGGGAAGCCTTCATTGGAAACTGTTTGGAAAAGGGCAGGCTATTTAAGAAAATACTTGGCAGGTGATTGGATGAACCATATGTCTATCACCATCTATCACAGGCCAACTTCAACCAACCAGATCAACAAAGCATAGATAGAACCACAGATAGAGTTAACTTAATTAAGCATCATTTATTTTTTGTTTTGAAGAAGGAAGCTACTTCAGAAAAAAAAGACATCAAGTAGAATATTTGACAAGACCATTAGCCAAGTCCGAGTGCAAATAATGAGTCCAAGACAAGTCTGATGCATTAGACAAACCGCCTTAAGTCTGGACTCGTCAGTGTGCAACTAATATGCATGCCGTGGGACAACTAGTTAATGGTGACTATTTGTACCTCAATGTAAAGTGTTTACTAAATACATTCTCTATTTATTTCTCTCATATCAGATGACTATGAGAACACAGCCCTGTTCCCTCTGCCCGCCAAAACCACCTCAGACCTCCTGCTGGGCTCGGGAGTGAAAGACAGTCCCACAGGAGCAATGGTGCCACTGTGTGGGGAGGGCTTCTCAAGCAGCTGCAGTCAGTCCAGCATCAGTGACCCGGGACCCAGACTCATCCAACATCAGGAACAATACAGGACACACTATGGAGAGCTGATGAGCACCCACAACCATGCAGGGATACAAACTGAGAGCACCAGGACTCTGGAGTTCTTTATCGACCGTCCCATTGAGCCCACATTTAGCCAAGAGAGGAACAATCTGCATGCCAAAGAGGTGAGCGTACTCATGGGTAACTGGTCACCACAGCAGTCAGGACAGGCTTGGACTGCACCTGTCAATCAAGCAAACATGCTCCAAAAAACACTTTTCTTTAAGCCTTCAAGTTGAACTACTTCATTAAGAAGCTGTGGTAAAAATCTGAACTCAAACTGATCTTAAAACTTCCACTTCAAATGTGTCGTTTCCTTTCTGTTAGGTGACTCAGCGTTTCTTTGAGACGGTATCGACTCAGCTGGAGCGTTGGTATGAGAGGAAGCTCATGGAGGTGGAGCATCAGACGCAGCTGAGAGCCCAGCAGGACAGGAAGGAGCTACAGCAGCGAATAAGCGCGCTGGAGGAGGAGCTTCAGAAGCTGAAGACCAATGAGAATGCAGAAAACTCAGACGCAATTAATACTGGAGGAGACTAATAGAGAATTTCTCACTTTTGCTTTAATATTTAAAAACTCATATCACCTTAATTTACAGCAGGCGGCAAAAAGAGAAAATGAGAAAGTCAAAGTCTTGATGTCTACAGAAATATTCATAAGTTACTCATACTTTAAGGGTGGCAGAAAAATATGCTGATTTATTCACAGACCATCACATTTATCAATATTTGCTTGGAAAATCCCCCAAATGAAGATATTTCAACTCAAAAAACATTATTGTGGCGGATTAATAAAACACTGGATAGAAATATCTAAAGGTGGAATTAGTAATCAATAAACTATTTCCAAATCTTCAGACATTTATACATCAATGATTCTAAAATATGGCCATAACAGATAGATATTACATTAATTTCCATTACTGTTTTTAACACTTATTTTTAAAATCAATTTAAATTAATGTGTTAATGTTTAACAGCATTTGACACCAAACTGGGGTGGCAGCTGGGGGGGCAGGCATTTTTTAGTGGTGGCAGCAGCCATCTCTCTTGATCTTCCCCTAAAAGTTGTAAAAAACAACCAAATAAATAAGAAGTGCATACATAGATACAATAATTCATACTGTCTATAAAATCTATACATAAAGAAAAGCATTGCTAGATTATGAAGGACAGTTGTTTACTGAATAATAGCTTGTCAAACAGTTTACATTTGTTACTATTTAATTAAGTTATGGTAACAAAGTGTTGTAAAGTTCATAATGTTACAAACTGAGAGAGGAGGAGTTTTATTTGTAATGTTTACTTATTACAGATTACCTTTACAATTGATAAGTCACATTTTTCAATGTGCAGCCAAAACACTTGAACACATCACAGGATAAACTCTTCACAACACTGACATCTGTCCCCTAACAGTACCACTTTGTCACTCATTTCAGTATTGACCATAAAAACCACTAACAACAAGTAGCATTACAATCGCTGCCACTACTATCTTCATAAAAGTATTTAATAATTTAGCCAATGTATTTATTGTTTTGTTAAAAGAGGGTGAATAATATAAGGGACTCTATTGTTACATATGTATATAGAGAACCTAGCAGGAAAACTAACTGACTCTCTAAGGAGGTATATGGAAATTATAGATGTGGTCAGTGTCAGTTATGATATTTCAGTAATAATATTACTTCCCCCAGTAACTAGTAGGGTAGCTAATTACTAATACATTTCATTAATATTACAGTTACCCCCTCAGAAAATATTAGTTACCAGACAAAGCGTAATCTTAAACTGAGAATAGCTGAACATAAAGCAGCTATAAGAAATCAAAATAAAGATTAAGCTATATACCTTATTAAGGTATATTTAATATTTATTCTATAAATACATTCACCTCCTGCTACTTCTGATATGTACTATTGTTTATTTTGTATAGTACCCTCTTTCTTCTAATATATTTCTTGTATTTTTTCTACCTTTTTGTACTTGTTTTTGATACATATCTTAATTTGAGGAAATTCAAGTGTTTTGTGCTCAATTATGGTATCTTATTGAAATGTATGCATTCTGCATCTGGAATTGTCAGCTTTTGTACTCTGACACTAACTGCAGCTTATAGTCTTATGGAAATAGAATACAATATTTGTGTAATGTTGTGTGATAGAATTATAGTTGCTATTGCGTATTATTGTAGATGTTTTGAAGTGCATTTGTTTTGGGGAATGTGAGCCTGTTGGTTAGCACCTAACCAGTCAAAGCTGCAGTAGGTAACTTTTATAAAAAAAATAACTTTCTGTCATATTTGCTGAAAACTTTCACTATATCCTGACAGTTAGAACATAGAGCAGATAATCTGTGAAAAAAATCTGGTTCCTCTGGCTCCTCCTAGTGCACTAATGGCATTTGCAAGAATCCACCAGGCCTGGAAAAAAAACAACCAATCAGAGCAAAGAAAGACAGTTGATTGTCATTCCCAGGTCATCAGATACCAACACTGGGAATGAGACTCAACAATCAACTATCTTCAAGCCTCCAATCCAAAGTGTCTTTTACTTTCTTGTCTCTGATTGGTTGTTTTCGTTCAGGCACGGTGGATTCTTACAAATACCCTTAGATTATAGCCACAGATTATCTGTTTCATGTACTACTGTCAGGATATAGTGAAAGTTTCAGCACAAAAAGTATTTTTATAAAAGTTACTGCAGCTTTAAAGCTGTCCTGATGGCAATCAAGCACAGATTAAGGAACAGTAAGGAACTGCCAAATAAGGGTACACTTCTTTAAAGCAGCCTAGTTGGAATGGTTCTACAGACAGGAATTGATGGCTTCGATGTAGAATTAAATTGATTTAGTATGAATGCTGATGAAGATCGATAGCAGAAAAACAGTCTAAGAGTATATCTGATTTTACATTTGTTAAAGTTCCTGAACTTGGAGAGACAGCAATACCTGTTGAGGGCATTTGGTTATTAATTTTGTCTCTAATAGTAATAATTACATCATAAAAGACACTCATAAAGTCGTTGCTAAATTAGTCTGTCCTTTCTCCCCAAAATTCAGACTTGTGATGATTAAAATCCAGTTTTGTTTGTTAATATCAGAGTAATGGAATATTTCCAGCTGCTATATGTAAGCGTTTCCATCTTTTTCCACAATTACAAAAATGAATTCAAGGATGTGATTCGATTGTTGGATTTCAAATCAGTAGGAGGGTGTAATATTATTACAAAACTAGTAAAAAGTAATATTATTACCATAATATTATTACTAGCAATGCCTTACTCCCCAACACTGGTCATGAACTCCACAAGGTACCATAAAGTAATAATACCACCCTGTAAATACTCCATAACAATAGTCCTGGATTCAAATTGTATTGTACTACTTATTCATTATACTTTAGCAAAATTTACTTTAAAGAAGCTATAAGGAATGTTCATTTGTGTTCCTGTCTCTCTAGTGAATCTAGTGATGTAGCTGCAGATCGCAAATCCATCGAAAAAGGGCTCCCTTAGAAAAACAAAGGTTGGGAACCAAAACTATATCAGAGTAATTACTAAAATAAAGGACAATAAAAGTTTTGTGAAAATCGTCACCTTGGTGGTAGGCCTGTTCACTTCATTTGGGCACCCAAGGGCAAAAACATAAACCATATGTGTGGGTGAGTTGAGGTCTGGTGTCAACAAACCGACAGACTGGACAAAGTCCCACCCTCGCTGCTCAGCTGTCAGTCAGGCCATCGGACAGAGTGCCGTTGGTTGTGTAACCCAATGATCCTGGTGTGACATTTGGCCTCAGCGACCACAGCCGCAGCTTCTGAAGGGAAAATCAAATCAATGCTCCATTGACTCTGTCAGAGCGCGATGGAAACCTAATTAAAGGCCCTCAAGGCATAGCTGGTCATTTTATGCATCCAAGCATCAGTGCTCTCAAATCAAGCCAGTATTATGTACTATTGCTTTACTCTGTGGTCTGAGGGAGGGGTATGGTCCGTGGGCCTCCCTGACCAGGGTAGTGTCAGCACTTAATATGTTAAAAACTCATGCCTCATGTGGTTGTTTAATAGTTTTTTGATATGCAGCAGTGCATCTGGTCTAAGGTACATTGCTTACTCAGCGCACCAACTGGAGTCATGCATACTGCAGAAAAGTCTATAGAATTCATTAACAATGCTCAAACATACTGCAAGAAGTTTTTAAAGGTTGGATTTATTTCTCTTTTAAATGTCTTTACACTGTTAAAGTATTAAATAATAAAAGTGTGGGGGCATACCAGCCTAATGGATAAGGCACACTGGTGCACACCACATAACACCCACAGTTAAATTCTGGCAGGAGGGCTTGCATGTCATTCCCCTCTCCCTCACCCTGTTTCCTGTCTCTTTAAACTGTCTATTATAAGTTGTTACAATTCTATAAATTGTTGTCTAAGTTGTCTATTTTAAAGCTGCAGTTGGTAACTTCTGGTCATATTCGCTGAAACTCACTATATCCTGACAGTAAAACATAAGAAAGACTTATCAACATAAATAGAATCTGTGAACAAAACTGGTTCCTCTGGTTCCTACTAGTGCTCCTACTGGCATTTGCAAGAATCCACAAATAAAAACAACCAATCAGAGCCGAGAAAGATCTCAAAGATGCTTTGGGTTGGAGGCTTGAAGACTGATGATTATTGAGTCTCATTCCCAGGGTCCCAAAGCATCTGTATGTGTTGCCTGCAAATGAGACTCAACAATATCCACCATGTTGAAGCACCATGTTTTTTTTTACAGTAGCCCAGATTGGTAGGTTTTCATTAGTGTATAATTGCATGAATATAGAAACATGGCTCTATATCACGTTTTGTCCTTACAAGCATGAGAAACTAGGAGAAACTATGGTGGCCATGAACACCATAGTTTCTCCTTCATGCTCGTAAGGGGAGGGTGAAGCAAGGGAATTGCACTCTGCAACTGCACCACTAGATTCTACTAAATTTTACACACTGGACCTTTAAAGTTAAAGTTGCATAGATTTCAGTTTTTGGGCAACTCATTGTTGGCTAACACGTTCACTATGACAAACAGAAAATCCAATGTTTTAAATTGCTGCTGGGCTCTTATAACACAAAAGAAGAATTTTGTGTTTATTGTTACATTTGACCTATTGTTAATTAAAAAAATATTGACTGGGGCAAAATCCAAATGATGCCAAAAGTCGTCCGCATTTTTGCTATCATGATCTCTGTGGAGATGTTTTTTTGTGCGTAATTTTCACATGAAGATTTTTACAATGTCCCCGAAATTGAAATTGAATTTGCACAGCAGGCCTGCCAGGCAGTCATGCATGCATGTACATGGACTGACATGCATGACCCCCACATCCCAAATTAAGAACTGTGTGTAAGACAGCAGGTAGGACATGATCCATGTAATCACATTATCCACATTAGATAAGTAAACAGATCTTGCTCAGGCCTCCCCATTAGCTCAGTTGCATCTTTACGTTGATGGCAGAAGATCCTATGTGAAAGACCGACCATAAAAATGTCATCTCTGTCACAGAGAGGGGTAGATATTGATGAGACTGGTTATAGTTGGCACTGCCGGCGTGGGAGAAGTGAGAGGGGGGGCGGGGGGCATTGTCCCGTCGGGAGATGATCGATGCTCACATCCTGTGAACCCTGCATGTAACACGGGAGAGTGCTCCCAACACACGGGCAGCCAACAGATACACAGAGAGACAAAGACAGAGGAAAGTCGAGGGACTGCAGTTTGCAATAGGCGCGAAAGGACCACCAAATACCTCCATGGGGTAGCCATACAGACGCAGTCAACTCCTGTGAACACGATGAAGTGCATCAAGAGGCAAAGAGGGTACCCATACCAGTGATATGTAAGTGCTGCTGCAGTGGTTGCTTCATTGAAGGGAGTCATTTGATGTAATGTTTGTGCTAAACATTGGTCCTATATAGTCAGAAGACCTGGATAGTGATTGTAAATGTCATACTTTTATTCATTATTGTTACTATAAAAAGAAAGTAATGGTTCCAACCAAATTTCTGACCTTCTCATAGATTAACATGCTAATTTTATTTTACAGTGAATTTCGATGACTTCTATGAATATGCAAATTATTTATATGTGTGAATGCATCTATGTGTTTGATCATGGGTTGTCTGGTGAATCAAACATCAAACATTCGGTGCTGTCAATTAAATATTTAAAAAGAGTAGAGCTGCACCATAGGCTATATGATCAAACAGATGGTAAAGCTCTATGATAGCAGCCATGGTAATATACTGGGGTCTAGTATAAGGTCTTTATTCAAATCAAACTCTTCAAATCATAAACAACAGCCCAAGAACGTATCAACTATTTCACATTATCATCTGATGACACTTCTAAGTCTTCAATTTCCAGATTTCAGTTACATCACAATGCCAGACCAGTTTGGCTTCTCTTTTTGGTCCGACCAGACATTTGTTTGGCACAGCGCCCGTTTTTCCGTAGGCTGTACAACACATGATTGACAGTTCTCTCCTCCAGTCAGACATCCACATGATTGGACGAGCACCAACCACTGGCTAGCATGTCAGTGGTTGCTGCCATTTTAAAAATGGGAAAACAGAGCAGGTCTAAAATTTCTCTGCAACTAGCAATGGAAATAGCTTTTGTGATGTTTGGAAGTTTCCAGGGGTGTTACCTGAACTTCTAAACACTCCTCTTAGTTTTTGTTGATTGGTCCAGCATTTATCTCAATGCATTCTCAATGTCAGTGTCTTTGATTCTGGCGATGTTACACTTTTTTTCTTCCCATTCCATGTACACATTCAAACCAGCGATGATTGTATCCTACTAACAAGTATTGTGTGTGTACTAAATGTAGATTAATCTGCCACGGATCCGCCAGCAACTGCGCTTTTTCCTCTTGTTTGAGAAAACAGGGAAACTACCAGCTGTTTCAGGAAATTACTGAGCATTTAAAAAACAAAAGAAACTATGAAACTTTTTCTGAGTTTTTTAAGATGTACTTCTTCAGTAGGAACCATTGGGCTTAAGGCTAAGAGCCAAAGACAGAGGTCAGAAGGTACTGAGAGACAGAGTAAGACATTGTTGGTTTGAGTCTTTTCATGGGATTCAAAAAATGTTGAATAAGACCAGCTTTATTCTTAACAGAATAACAATTTATTTCGTAGATTTAGCCACTGATTAGGTTGGTTAGGATAATATTCTTCTTGCCAATGTAATTTCTAAAATCTTGTAACAACCCAACATATACATGCAATAGGGCAATAAGTACAAGCAGTCTGACGTTCAGGCTCAGGTTGTAAACAAACCCCAACATTAGCAAAATATATTTGGAAGAGAAATGAATGCATATGGTAACATTACAAGCCAAACTGTCTGTTGTAAACATCCACAACAGCAACCCAACTTGACATTACTGCTGCACCTAATTTAGGTTTTACCTCCAAAGGAAGTAGTAGCTAATCTGGCCAAACTCTCACAGGCGCTGATCCTCTGACTGCTTTCTTGCCTCATTGAATGTATTTTTAGCTAAGTCGCTGTGTCTTGAAATCTCAGTAAGTGTGTCAAATGTTATCATCACCAACAGAGTTACACAAATAAAACCCAAGTTGTAATAAAATGTACCTTTCCTTTACAATCTCATAGCAATATGTAGCCGTTGTAGGCTTTGTGAGGGTAATGTGCATGCTGTGTCTCTACAGTTCAAGGACATGTTGCACTGAAGTGGTGAGAAGCTGACCATGGGTGACTGGAACCTGCTGGGCAGCATCCTAGAAGAGGTCCACATTCATTCCACCATTGTGGGCAAGATCTGGCTTACCATACTCTTCATCTTCCGCATGCTGATCCTGGGTGCGGCCGCTGAGGACGTATGGGATGACGAGCAGTCCGAGTTTGTCTGCAACACTGACCAGCCTGGCTGCAAGGCGGTCTGTTACGACCGTGCCTTCCCCATCTCCCTCATTCGCTTCTGGGTCCTGCAGGTCATCTTCGTCTCTGCGCCCTCGCTGGTCTACATGGGCCACGCCCTCTACTGCATCCGATCGCTGGAGAAGGAGCGACACCGCAAACGAGCCCAGCTGAAAGAGGAGCTGGACGAGCTTGAGTTGGCGTTGGATGAGCATAAGCGCATGGAGAGGGAGCTGAGGAAGCTGGACGAGCAGAGAAGGGTGAAGAAGGCTCCTCTCAGAGGCTCTCTGTTGAGAACCTACATCATCCATATCCTTACACGCTCTGCGGTGGAGGTCTGCTTCATCCTGGGCCAGTATGTACTCTATGGTGTCCAACTAGAGCCGCTCTATAAGTGTGAGAGGCTACCTTGCCCCAACAGTGTAGACTGTTACATCTCCAGGCCCACAGAAAAGACCATCTTCATGGTCTTCATGATCGCCATCGCTGGTGTGTCACTTTTCCTGAACATTCTGGAAATATCCCACCTGGGCATCAGGAAAATCAAACAGACACTGTATGGAGAGAGGTACACAGAAGATGACAGTTTGATTTACAAGTCCAAGAAGAAGGCATCCTTACCACACCTCTGTGTAATGAGCACTGTATCACCTCACAATGGGCCTTTGACTCAGACCTTCAAAGTGATTCCAGAGGCAGACATGAAGCCTCCTCATTACAACACTGGACTTAAAGCCAACCAGGACGCACTAAGACACAACAGCTTGGCTCATCTGCGTTACAGTCAGACCAGCTATATCTGCCCCCAACCTAGGATGCCACCCAGGTCTGACCAGAACTGTGCAATCCAAGCCCCCCAAACCCATGAAGGTCCAGAGGTCAGCACAGTCATGGTGGACAACCATCCAGCATGGGCTTCTACTGTGTCCAATGTGGAGGAAAGTAAAACAAGCCATCTTGAGGATCCCCATGATGGAGAACACCCTCAACCCAGCCACTTGGAATCACTGCTGTCAGCTAGCACCTTAAGGCCCAGCGCTATCAGAGACCTCGATGAGGATGAACGAAGGGAGTCGATGGGAAGCGAGGTCCTGCTGCACAACCCCAGGAAGACCAGCTTCATGATCAGACCACCATCTGAGAGCTTGTCCTCCATCAGTCGCTCCACGAGCCCTTCCTTACATACCTCAGAGGAGTCGGATGAACTGGGCTCCCTGCAGGGAGACATGCCAATGATGCCGCCTGCTGGAGGCCGAAGAATGTCAATGGCAAGTAAAGAGCAGAAATTTGTCTGAATGACATTTCATGGTAGTTGAGAACATCGAAGGCAAAGTTCTAAAAGAAAGAGTACACCCAACCATCTGAGAGCAGCTTATCCTCCATCTGGGTTTTATCTGTCACAGTTGTCTACAGCATAAGAGTGTTTTTTATTTTTTTTTATTTAACCTTTATTTAGACAGGTAATGTAACTGAGACACTGGTTCTAGTTTTCAACAGAGACCTAGTCAAGACAACAGCAACAATACAACACAAAGATACAGACAGACAAGACATACAGTGCAGAAACATAATAGAAAAAAAATGTTATTCAGTACTATGTATGAGTTGTATCTATAAAGCATAAAGTTTCTGCTAGTTTCTTATGAAGTATTTAGCCTACTAAGTTAACCAACAAATCTGGCCAAAATATCCAATACCATAACCAAAAAGATGTGATAAACAGTCACTGATTAGGACTTTTCAAGGTGGCAGCAAAAGAGATGAAGAGGTTTTTTGAAGAGAGCTGATTTGGGTGTAGCCCAATACAGACACATTGGCAGCCTGTGCCCATTCAATGTTCTCAGTGGAAGTAATAAGAAAAAATCTAACTGCTATTGTTATTTCAGATAATGCCCTTCAGTTCTGACAAAACTAATGAGTCAATTTGAAAAGCAAAACAGCAACAGCAAAAGGGAGAAGGCAATATGCTGCCATCAGAGACAGTACACAGAAATGCCAGCACTGAATGGAATTTAGATTTTAAAACTTAAGGGTTAGGCGTTAACATTTTTTTGGGGGGGGTTGTTTGTTTGTTTGTTTGTTTGTTTGTTTGTTTTTTAATATTTTTCATATGAGATTAGATAGATAAATAAAACAAAATTAGATAGCTATGTCAATATAAGATGCAATAGAAATGAAATACATGTAAAAGATGAATATTTTATATTTTAGTTTCTTAACATTTAAACACATTAATTAATAAATAATTATAAAACATATTAAAATGCACAATTGGATTCAATATGAATTTTATAGAAGAATATATATATATATAATCTTTGATAAACACAGATGGTTAGTTGTACTCTCAAATTAAACATTTGTGCTTACTAATTAGTAATTCATGTTCTCATATTATCGTGCAATGGAATTTACATTACATGGCATAAAACAAAAAAAAAACTGTTTAATATTTAACAAAAGACAGCACATTGTTTAACATTGGAGATTCGTGAAAATGCTTGGGAATGTTCCTTTTAAAGGGATAACACTTTAGTGCTATATTTGGTTAATAAATTAATGAATCTATTGTTTATTCTGCACCTACAAATTTGTTGTTTTTCTTTTCTTAACGACACCTACCAGCCTCCATAGATTTCATATGTAGTTTATTATTTTAAAAAATCATTCTCTCTTACCTTATCAGCAATAGCGTTAAAAATAAACCAAAGATGACATGTCTAAAGCATCAAGAATATTTTTACAGAAAAATTTATATATCTGCACATTGTTGGAGACTCAGTTTTGGTAGACATTAAGGATTTCTTCATCATTCTTTTCTTGCTCCCAGAAAGTATTCCTTTATGTTTCCATATGGTGTTTAAGCACTTTAAGAATGTTCTTTTAAGCAATCACTATGAACACATACTGATGCTTGCTTTACTGAATTCCAGGTACACAGTGTGTGTTTTATGTCCAGCATCAGCTACAGTCTAAGTCAAAGCTGTCTTCTTGTCTTTTTCAGAGCATGTTTCTGGATATCTCCTCTATCATGAAGAAGTGAAGTGACAACACTAACATCATGGCCGTATGAGCTGTGTTCCACAGCCCAGCTGGGTCACAAACGGGAGAAACTGTATCAATGATCCAGCCATCAACATTGATCCACCCCTCAAGTCACATGGGGCCAAAACCAGTCAGTCAGCCATGATGAGGCAGCGGACTCAGTGCCAACGCCCAGTATGTTTTGGATTTGAAGCACCTTATAATGCCTACATGTGGGTACTAACAGGAAAGGATTGTATCTCTATAAAAACATCTGTCCATGTGTTGGCTGAAATTTTAAGATTGTGCAGAAACAACACAATGGATTATGGAGCAAACTCCTCAGAGGATGCCTTTGCTCCTGGACTTTCTAAGCTTAAAATACGTTTTCTAAGTCAAAGACTTGGTTAGAATGTGTGTATCTGTGTATAGTCATTTATATACAGTCATTTGATTATAAATGATGATACTTTATATTATATTCAGATTAAATGCTTCTTAACAAAACAGCAATCATTTTGTCAACAGATATTTAATTTAGAATCCACACAACACCACACAATCCAGTTCTCATGCTTTTTTCTTTTATTTCTCAAGAAAGATAGCCTAGGCAAAATGCGTTTTTTTTTTTTTTTTTGTCATTTAAAACCTTTTTCATATCAAATAAACAAAACATGACATGTTGCACAATATTTACAAAAAAATCTAAACAGGCCATTCGAACATTCAGAGATAAAAAATGAATGAAAAAATGCTGAATCTGCATATAACAGTCATGTTGCAGGTTGCTCAAAAATGGACACGTAAAAAATGGCTCACCAAAATCTACAAATACAATGAAGTAACCACTGTAAAAAGTCAGAAACAATGCCACAGAAACTCTACATGTCTATCATACAGTCCTTACCCATTAGAAGAGGTATGCTGAATCATCCAGGTAGATAAGTGCTTAAAGTCCGTTCAACTAAACTTCAAAAAGTCAGAATCTGAGATTCAAGTGGCCCCGATTACAGTGTTCTGTAAACAGATTGGATTAAATAAGTACTTTCTTCAGTCTGCCACCATGTTGTGTAATTGCAAATTGAAGGCATTTGATTCCAAAATACTAACTTCCATAAGGGGAAACTCTTCCCTGACAACCACTGCACACTGGTATAAAGCTGCAGTAGGTAAGTTTTATAAATATTGTCATATTTGCTGAAACTATATCCTGACAGTAGAACATGAGACAGAGAATCTGTAAAAAGAAAAATCAGGTTCCTCTGGCTCCTCCTAGTGCTCCTAATGGCATTTACATTAGTTGGTTGCTTGAAGATAGTTGATTGTTGAATCTCATTCCCAGCATCGGTATTTGATGACCTGGGATGACACTCAACAATAACTATCTTTCTTGGCTTCCGGCTGATGGGGGCGGCGTGCCGGCTTTGGTTGTTTTTGTGGTCAGACCGTAGATTTTTGCAAATGCCATTAGGAGCACTAGGAGGGCCAGACGAACCTGATTTTTACAAATGATCTATTCGATGTACTACTGTCAGGACTTGGTGAAATTAAGTGAAAGTGAATATGACAAAAGTTATTTTATAAAGTAATACCAACTGCGGCTATAACATACACTTGTTAAAGGTTGTTTAATTTAAATAAGTTGTGTGTGCCTTTAGCAGCGAGCATTTGGAAAGTCACCATGCTTCCTGTTAAGGAGTTATTCAATTGACTATTCATGAAATTATTGGTAAACCGAGTTGGTTCTCAATCACAGGTGGCCCAGGAGTCTGCAGGTTTCCCCCATCTTATGCTAACACGCACTTAATTACTGGCTGATTTGAAACTGCAGACTCTTGGTTACCTCACGCCTACATGGCTAAGACAATAAACATATGACTCAATTACTATTATTCATTATCTTGATTATACATTGTTTTTTGCAGCACTTACGTTACTGCTGCTTTTGCATTCTTTTTGCACAGTTTGATAATCAGTGGTTCCAACCTGCAGGGTCGCAAACTTTCACAGGGGGGTCATGAAGCCTTCTTGTTTAAGGGTGTAAGAAACTTTAAAATTATCAGTAGGCCTGCATCTTGAGGAGTTTCTTGTTCTGTGAGGAACCTAATTTTATTTATGATTATTATTTTAATCTTAACAGGGATAAGGCACAACGGGCAAGAACCTGAACACAAGCATATTCACAGAGCCTTCAGTCTCTTGATAAACAGCCTCGTCTGCTTTAGAAAGTTCAACAACAAAGAGCTACAATTAAGAATGTATGATTGTTAAAAAAACAAAAATACGGACATAGTTTTGTAAAAGTTTCCTAAATGTAAGGAAAGTCATCTCTGTTCAATATTTCACAGGAATAAGCTGTAAATTAATCTCGGTTTTACACAAACTTCCTGCAGTTCTTGTGTTCACTGTTTGGGTTCATTGTACAGTTTATCAGTTGTTCTATACTGTTTTGCATTGAATATAATATGAAATATCCATAAAATATGTCAGTTAGTTTACTTACTGATAGAAAATGGCTCCCTAAAGGAAAAAGGTGGGAACCACTGTGCAGAAAATTGAAACTTGCTTGCGTTAGATAATGTATCACAGTGAATCATGTCAGCTTTTACTGTTGTTTTTTTGTAGCATGGCGATGCAGTTGTAAGTAGAGATTGATCTGAAAATGCTGCATTGCATTACAACACAACAATAATGTAACTCTGGCAACATTAAAAGCATGTGATGTATTACCTAACTCAGACAAGTTTCAAGTCTCCATGAGTAAACTTTTGTACCATACTGAAACAAAATAAAACCACAGCAGAACATCCTCTAGAGCTGCTTTAAAGACTGGTTGGCAGTAATAAAAAGTATATGGATTTTGCAGTCAATGGGCTAATACAAGAAATAAAAAAACTTAAAATTGCACTGGGGTTAGAGATGCTCCATGTTAACTAGTCAACAAATACTACTAGACAGTGATGGCATTTGCTGTATATGGAAGATGATTAGGGCCATTGAGGTCTGAGAGCAATGTGAGAAATGTGAGAAATAAGACATCTTTTCAATATTATTGTCAGACTTCTGATTTGTTTATAACTTTTTCCATAAAATTATGACAAGTGACAATTCTTCAAAATTCATTCCATAATTGAGAACTATTGTGCAGTGTCCATTTTGAACCCTGAGTCCTCAGAGTTGGACCAAAATGCAGACCAAACAACTTGAAAGATCCAATTGTTGCAATAAGTGCAGCCTTCAATTAAACTAACAGATGATTTCATTTGCATTTTAGCGCTAGGAGAGGAAGAGGTACCAAAATGAGGCACAGAATCATTTCATAGCTTTTATTCATCTGTGTTTTGTGTAGAATGGATTATTTAATGCTAAAAATGATTTGATGCCTCGTTTTGAAGTTTACTTAAGTGTAACTTCCAAGTTCATTTTTATCTTTTAAACTTCTGGTCCTATATTATTATTGGTGACACTTACAAGAGCATTTGGCTTTTCTATATGGAGACCCACAGTGGTCAATATTAAATAAATATATAAACGTAACAAATAATCATATTAAAAAATAAACACAAAATATATAATGTAGCCATTAATTTGTAAAATAATCATATCACTTTGTAAACTAAGATGATGAAGTGTTATTTCTTTTCATATTTCAATTTATTAAAGGTAAATTTTTTTCAATTAATTTAATAATTTCAGCTGTTTTTATTTCAAAATCTGTGTAATTATTTAATGGTTATATTACACATTGTGTCTGTATTTATTGATTATATTATTTATTTGACACTTTGGGCCTCCATATTTTCAGAGGGGAAGATGTACATGGCTAAATTTCACTATTTATCACAAAAGGGAGCTTAAAATAAATGCTTAAATAAATGTACACTCATTGTCTTTGCCTCTCAAGGATTCATCACAAAAAAAAAACAGCAGGGGTTAGAATGGGTCGCATCAATACTTTTATGACGCTGTTGCAAAACAGTTTCTTAAAACTGCTGTGTAGTTTCCTCTGAATAAAATCCATTGTTCCCTCACTGGATAGTTTGGCCTCTGTAACCTCTAAGGCATAACATTGTAGCTGCACTTGTCAGATGCTTATTTTTTTCTCAAAATTCATCAACACTTTTAACTTAAAATAGAACTATTCAACTTAATTTCCAGGTCTTAATTATATCTTTACAAAACGAAAAGAACAGAACAGGTAATACACAAAACTTGTAAACATAATCACACCCCTTTAAGTTCAAATATTACAACTTAAGTACATGTGTTAAATGAAAACTTATTTTTCATGAACTTATCAACAATTAAAAAAATACAACCATTAACAAATTCTAAGAAAGGGTAGTGACCTACATTTTACATCTATGCAATTTCCTCTACACCCGACCCCAACTCACAACAACAAGAGTTCAAATAAATAAATGAACAAGTTCACATTAAGGAAGTAAAAAACAGCTGAGTAGTGTTCTTCGGTGTACTCTGAGCATTCAGTAAATTCTAACAAGATTATCATTGGCTAACAGGTCCTAGTGTGATATCATGGGTAGTTCTCTTTGCCTTCAATCAACATGTTCTCACTCCCAACTCGTTAAATCGTTCAAAATATGACAGTGTAGGTATCCCTCTGAGGTCATTTCTGGGCGTGCAGGGTCTGTGGTCAAGTTAGCAACAATAAATATGTAACGTCTGGTTACATTTTCAAAATAAAGCTTGTGTGGTTAATGTTGTGAAACGGTCAGAGTTTGGTTAAGTTTAGGCATAAGAACTACTTAGAAAAGATCGGATGTTAAGTCAAGTAGCTGATGTAGCTAAGTACATGAACAAAATGTAACTTACTTAACATACCTGACGTTGAAGTTACATACGTGAACAAGACACAACTTACGTAACGTACCTAATGTAACTTGCGTATGCGTACATTAATAAATAATGTAACTTACATAACATACCAGACGTAACTTAGTTACATGAACAAAACGTAACTTACATATGTTACTTAAAAGAAATTGTTGACTTTTGGTTTCACACGGGACTCCATCAGCGGTGTCCCAAGTTAAAGTCCTGTGCTTGTTCATCCACCCCACCACCTCTATATGTGGACTTTCCGATTCTTCATACTACGCCACCTGTCTTTGATGGCAAGTGCACCCAGAAATGACCCTAGAGGGATACCTACAGTGTCATATTTTGAAGCAGAGGGCCACTGACCAAGCTGCAGTGTCTCACAACTTGGAAGTGAGATCGGGTTATAATAACTTAAGCCAATTTGTTTTCATTTTTTCATTTTAGCTTATTCAAGTGTGTTAAAGCTAGCACAGTCAAGCTGCCATTATAATAGGGGACCACATGGTTTTCATTTTAGAAATCTAATATTTGAATTTCTTTCAAGCTAACAGTTTTACATTCACAAAACCACACAGGGAAATATAATCCCTTTATTTTAAGAGCTAATAACAAATTTCTGAGAAATCAAGTGCAATGAAAAATTGCCAATTGCAGTTTCAAACTCTAGTTTGACCTTGCTGTGCTGAACGTAATGCCATGGACATGCTGCACTGTAAAGCTGACAGTGCAGCGGCAGCAGCACTCAGCCCTGCCACGTGCCTCACCATTGACTTTTCAACAGCAGATGAATTTAGCATCTCCCTAAATCAATAATGGGCCAGTGTGGTTGTTTGGAGCTTTGAACTTCATACCATGCACTATTAGGGATACTGATTTGTAAGTAGAAATTGATCATTCTGCTTAGTGTTTGCACAAATTCAAATATGATGTGTTAATTTGAAAATGTAGGTGTCTTACCAACATACATTTAGTAGGGATATTCATCTTATGTACAATTACAAGAACAGTGCAGCTAAATACATTATTACCACAAACACTAAATTCTTACTACTTATAAGACAATAAATAAACGAATCAAAAAGAGCACTTATGATTTGTTTAAGCTGTTGTTCAAGTGACCACACCATAGTCTTTAGCCCATTAAACAGGGGTCACTTTACATTACAACCATCCATTTTCCAAAGTATAATATAGTGTTTTAGATTTTTGAGTGTGTTTTCTGGAGACTGCAGACAGCTATTGATTTCCATTATTTTCCCTCTATAATAATATAAAGTATAATATATTAATACATCAACTAGGAGAGTTTCTTGAGATGAGAAATCCATCATATTATTTAATTTCATTCATTCACCATTTTAGAATTTCTTTGAATATAGCCATACAAATTTTAGGTGACACTTTATTTAACAGGCGCTGTAATTCCTATATCATTCATATAAAATGAATATGAAATAAAAATATAATTTCTGAGGAATTTTCAAGTAATTTGGTAGTGGCATCTAGTGGTGATGTTG